CATATACATAAAGATCGCAGGCCTTTCGAGCCAGGTGCAAATCTAATGGAAGGTTATAAATAAAAATCATAGAAAGAATGATCGATTCATGTAACAAATGAAGACGTACTGCTGACTATGAGTACAAATTCATATGATAAGTATGAAACAAAACGTATAACATCTCCTGTTGTAGCCGGTGGTCGAGCACTCTGACAACACGCATGCGCACACATGGTGAACATAAACATCATGCACCATTACTACTAGCTATCACAACTGTTCTAACTCATTTTAACATTTTTTAATTCATTTTTTAATTTGATCTGGCCTCAGCTAATGATAAATGAAACCAGATACATAGAGGGACAACAGCATTGCATCTGCACACCCTCGCCACGAGATCATTAGAGGACAACGCGGATAAGGATGAAGCAGCAGATGTTCTTGCTCGCAATCAATACGGATACCAACGAACAAGAACGCCATGAGCTAGCAAGCAATCAGGCAAGGCCTACACCAAAACCAGTGTGTTCACAGAACAAGTATAACCCTACCTTAAAGTGATCGATCTTAACAAACTCGGGAAAGAAGGGCAGGATGTCTTCTATCTTAACCAGATCACTCTGCTCTTCCAGTAGCTTCATGGCGCGCTCGATGTTGTGGTCCTCTTCGATCACGTGGTGAGCTATTTTTAGCCACAGGCGCTTCCGCAGAGACTCATCGTCCTGAGTATGATGGAGTTCAGATGGTGAGTTGTAGTCGTGTACACTGATGTGTTTTTTTTCCAGCCACAAGTGTTTTTGTAGAGTTTGTCATCCTGAGTATGTTGAATCCAAATGTAAAAATCAAGAGAATAATTTATAAACTCTGCTGGCGCAATTGATTTTAAGCCACCTTACGCACTGCATCAATTCAGTGTAACTCTGGGTTTCTTATATACGGCGGCCAGGATGAAACATATCTAAAGCCCAGAGATTATATCTACGCACATCAGATCACAAAATAGTATAAAACCCTTTTATACAATGAAAACATTTCGATACAAATCAGAGCATGTGCAATAACATGTCACAACAACTTGCACAATCTATCGCTCTCAAATTCGGATACTAGTGGCTTTTGATCAATGTCAGTTCATCCTGGATTTACAATCCCTACCGAGTCTACCATCCAATCACTATTTCAAACAGACGGATTGCAACCTGAACACCTCTTAGCTTAACGTTGTCACCTGAAACCCCGACTGGCATACTCTCTATCTTGATATTATTATATGCCGCATCGCAACCCTTTCGTATACTTCAGTATCAAAGCTCTGAATGCTCAATTCTGTGCGTGTAATCCAGTGTAATTCAGTGCTGAGGTTCTTAAAGACTGCCAGTTCCTCTATACCTCGTCCGGCAATTCGGTGATGTCCTTCGCCAACTCCACGTCCACCTTTAGCGCGAGCGTGACAGCTTCTTCATACAAGCCCATCTGCTTGTAGATCTCCACACACGCATGCAGTTTGTTACTCTCAAAGCACAGACGCAGCACATACTGCCGATCATAACCCGAGGACTGCCGGGGTGTGAGGGAATATCAGCGGTATAAGTAGTTGCCTTGCAACGGGATAGAAGCAACTAGATGCGACAGCAGTCACACAAACCAAGAACGTAAGGTAAAAACCCTCAACAATTTGATAGAACCTGTAACACCGTGCGACGTGCACTATACATTATTCACACACACACTTGGCATCACAAATCTGGTACCCGCTCGAAGCATGTGTGTATGCCTCCTATCAAATGCACCGGCAAAATTGATGAGATGAAACCTGAGAGCATTTTAACAAACTAAACTAAAATTTACCGTCTGTAGAAAGTCAATGAGCTTCTCATCGGCGTTGTAGCTTACGTAGACCGATATTAAGCAGTTCTGAATGGCAGGATCCTGCACGCCAAGCTCAGTGATCACCTTCTCCAGATACCGCAGGGCTTGATTTTCCTATGGAATATAGAGTAACCATGTGAGGGAAGGTTGAGAACTATAATAAATGGACAATAATTGGCTGTAGAGCAAACAAGTATCCGTTGGTTGAGTAGCAGTCTAAAAAATAACAACGATATGATTTATATATAGATATATGTTCATCC